ATACCTTAGAAAAAATTGATGTATGTGTGTGAGCGGATACAAATTTTCGTCGATGATTTCGGGACAACCGATTTGAATAATTCAAAATAAATTTCGATTCGTATTGATAAAGAAACGTGCTGATTAGTTTTTGACAGAAGCAGGTTTAGCCGTTCCGAAGATATGGGGCAAAAAGTGCCAAAAACGGTAACTCAGTTTTTAAGAGAACGGAGCGTCCGATTTCAATAATTCAATAAACATTTTACTTGTATTGACAAGATGAAAAACTGATTAAATTTTTGGGAGGGCAGGTCCAGCGGTTATGGAATCTCAATAAAAAATAAGTTCATTCGGCGGTCAAAAATGCTTATTGGACATATGTACATCGAATTATGAGGTATTTTATAGAGATTTTAATAATATGTACACATTTTGTGTATGGTTTTCGGTTCTGTACCAAGATTTTTAATTACGGTATGGAAAGTTCCAGCAATTTGCCTTAAGACACCATGCCACACACCACTAGTTTTTTCACTTGTATTTTGGAACAAATAAGTATTCTTGTTTAGGGATGTTTTATATTACTATAAACTACCAATACACAGGGTGTCCCAGAACTTAACGTCAAGCCGGGGGGTGATAGTATTAAAAAATCCAATTCAAAATCTTGTTGCTTAAAATTAGATATAATTAAACATTTTAATACTGGCGCTAAACATAACATGTAACTCGATTTAAGTGTGAATTGTGAAAAATAAAATAAATTTATATCTGGAGAGAAAATATTTTTCCAACTTCTTGAATTTTTTTGAGACAAGGAAAAGATAACAATAGTTCGTGAAAATGGTTTATTGCTGTTTTACGCGATTTTGCCAATTTTCATCAATTTCCTATTAGATTATTTCACTTCATGAATTTATAAAAATATCGTATAAATTAAAACACATTCTATAAATTGTTTCATTGTTTGTTACCGGTAAACATTATATATTATTTTCATATTCTGTTATGAAACTTTTCCGGGAAGGAAATAACAAATAAAGCGCCGTTAAGATTTTATTGCCATACATTTCTCTTTGTTGTGAAAAGAAATTTGTTACTATGTTATGATACAAAAGAAAGTATGTAAAAAGACAAATACCTTGGAATTTTAATAAAAAATCGATTTCATTTTTAACTAATATGCTCAAAATATTAGAAGGATCTGTTTTGCATGTTAGTCGCTTGTGATTATTTTTTTTGTAGTAATTTTTTTTTTAAAAAAAAAAAAACAAAAATTTGCTTTGTTCAAAAAATCTTCAATTTCAGCCTAACAAAAGTAGGAAACTCTAATATCTCGATTTGTTTATATCGTGTTACAGTGTTAAATTTATGGTTTTTATTTTTTTTACTCAATTTTTTTCAATAATAATATTATCAAGTCAATTTACCATTTTATTGCAACTGTGTATATTTCACTATTTATAAATCAATTTCATTTTTTATCTATTATTAAAGATAAAGTTTTGATTGACAAAAAAAAGAAAATTTTATCTATAATCGCCCAAAGATTTACTAAATGTATATTTTAGAAATAAATGAAAAAAAAAGATTAAATGCGTCAACACACTTTAGTACACTTTTTTAATGAGGGCCTCTCAAAGTCCACCGATTTTAAACATTTTAAATTCATATTTCAACAAAACGTCTTAATTCTTGAAAACAAAGAGAAATTGTGTTATTTTACACAACAATCCTAGAAATGTTATTCGGTTTCAAGGTTTAAATAAACAAAGTTAATAAAAATTAACCCCAATAACCAAAAAATGGTTATAGACTCACCAAAGGCTCTAAGTTGCACTTAATAACTCATGATTACCAAACAACTTAAAATTTTTTTCAATTTTTTTCAGGACATTTAAAATCAATAATATCATCGCATTTCGGCTTGACGTTAAGTTCTGGGATACTTATAAGTGTAAAATTAACACAGCCAGAACTAATCATTTAATTATACTTTAGTATCAGCAATTAAGTTTTTGATGGTAACTTTTGAGTACACCATTATTCTGTAAAAATATTTACCATAAAACATTCAAATAAATTAAACATAAATTCCATTAAAGTGATAATCTACGGATACTGTTTTACTCAACTTCCTGAATATTGAAATTATAAGGGATTCTTAAATTAATTAAAATATGTTATATATGGTAAGTTTTACGATGGTAATTCTCAACTTCAGTTGAGCAAATAAAATTTTAATTAGAATTATCATATAACATGTACAACATTAGAGATATAAAAATGTAATTCCCTTTTCATTTTTAAATTAAATTTTTCAAGTAAAGGAAGTCGGTAATATACGGATATTCAACCTTTATTACGTCTTCATGATGTAAAATAGAGAAAAACGAAGTCCAGTTGCAATTTTCTGATTAAACTTCTGCACTCTATGAATTACAGATGACAATTTCATTAAGACATTCCAAGTATTGGCCACGTCACCGACAACAAAGTTTTTATAATCGCAGGTTTTTCGTATGAGAATATACGAGTTTGTTATTGATCGGATGCGACAAACGCAAAGTGTATAGAAGAACTGGCCGGAAACTCCTTAAACGAACAACAAAAGGAAACATTAAATCAATTCATTGATGGCAAATCATTGGTCGCACACTAGATATTAAATTAGATTAATGCGGATGTTCCCGAACTACGACTAGGAGACCCTCTCAGAGGTCCTGTTGCTTAGAATTAGATATACAAACACGTTTCCAAGTTATTAATACTTATTAATTGAAAAAATCTAATTTTACAGATTGTAAACATCAAATGTGGCATTCCTTAATTATTTCTTTAATACAGATTGATCTCTACAAACATTCACTATTTGCCCAAGAAATAATTATATTATATATGTGAAACATATTTTCTGTCAAGCTTTTTGATGGAAACTTGATCCAACGTGAAAATAAAATTTTGAGTACACCATTATCCTGTAAAAATATTTACTATAAAACATTCAAATAACTAAACACACATTCCATTAAAGTCATAACCTACGGATACTGTTTTATTCAACTTAAATCTTAAATTAATTAAGATACTTTAATATTAATTAGGAAAACGTAAAATATGACTCTAGTATTTTATTTTTTTTATTATTATTATTTTATTTAATTCTTATAAATATAAGATAAGATCATCACATGGATTTATCCTAATACATATGTATTATATTTATATTTCAATAAAATAGTTTCTTTTCTTTGTACACACTCACCTTACTTGACAGAAAATATGTTACAAGAAATACTGGCGGCGTGTGCATCGAACTTGAATTGGATAAAAAAATGCACACTCAGACACTCAGATAAATTCTCTCTATATATGATTTAATTATTATCAACAATCTTGTTACAAAAAAGAAATACTGTACATCTTGATCATGTTCTAAAATAGTATCCTATTTTTCAGCAGTTAATATATTAATAAGCTCCTGAACAGTGTATTTTATTAATATTAGGCGAAGTAAAAAAAAATTCATTATTTTTGCAAAAGTTAGCTTTAATTATCAATATCTTGCGTTCTATCAATCTTATAGGGTTTTACTAGAAGACGTTAGAAATTTGAGATTTCTTATTAAAACTTTTCTGACAGTTTTGTTATTGATTGCCTTAGTTTTGTTTGGACGCGCATCTAAAATAAACACTAGCAAAGAAAAAATACGATAGTAAATATAGATAATACTAATATTTGATTATAATTATTTCTATTAGTTTATCCATTTTTAAGAAGGATTTTCTAGAATTGATAAAAACAAAATGTTTCCTTACTATTGATTACTTTGAAATATATTAGACAAAATTATTCATGAAGTAGTTATAAACTTATTTTATTATAATAAGTAAAAATAATGGTTTATTTGCTAAAATTTACTAATCGTTTAACAAAAAAAAAAAGGGAAAGTGGGAAAGCAAGCAAAATACAGTCTTCACTGCCTGTTCTGGCTAATATTGATCGAATTAGCAAAAAATTCTATTACAAATAAACTAGGTACAACTTAAGTGAGTATTTTATTTTTTGAATAATATAATTCAGTTTTACGAATAAAACTGGCTTATACATTTTATTCAATTAGATTTGACTGGAAGTCAATCTCATTTTTGTGTATCAACTTTATCGCCTAGTACAATTTTTTTCGCATGTTCTAAATATTCTCTATAATCAAGTTATTAAAAATCTTGTGATTTTTTTAAATGATCTAATTAAATAAGACTAAATTTTACGACTTTTTTAGTGGATGAGAATATAACGGTATATTTTAGAGAGACTTATGTAGATTTAAATACCGTACATAAAATACACAGATACAATACATTCTTTGTGTTTAAATTAAATAATTAAAAATTTTGCATTTAATTAAATTGATATAGTAAAAGAATTTTGTAGACTTTAATTGAACATTCTATCAAAATTCGGATTTTAATTCCCAAATAAAAAAAAGCCTCAATAAAGATAAAGAAGACATAGAATACTAAATATGAAACTTCAATAATGCTATAGCATACAAATTTTAAGGTCTAATTATTTTGAATCTAATTTTGTATAACCCTACGTTTTTGTAATTATTGTACCTGTCAATTTAATGACTAACTGATTTTTAGGGTATTTTTATATTATTTTTCCCGCCGTCACAAGCAAATTGCGTAAAATAGAAGAGTAATACTTGACGTGGTTGCTATAGCATTCGTCATATATAATGATTAATATAGGATAATTAGACTGTCCTTATAAACGGTCAAGTTTGGACAAGCGAATTGCGTAAAATAGAAGAGTAATACTTGACGAGGATGCCATAGCATTCAGACTGCCCTTATAACCGTTCTGGATGCTTTTTAATCAAATTTCGGATATCACAACCGATTTAAAAATACAACGACTGTCATTTTTTGTACCTTGCTGAAACTTTGACTGTCCCCAAACGTGTTAAGAAAATTTTCCTTTACTGGTGCAAAATATTATAAAATTTCACTAACCTCATCGGTGTATCGCACGTCGTCGACGGAGTACATGTCCTTGAAGTCCTCGAGCCGATGCAAGGGTCCCATCCAGACCGCATATTCCTCTGGCAATCTCGGAACAAAAAGCGTGCTGCGACCTGTTCCGACCTCAACGGCCCCGAACAGATCGGGTTCCTTAGCGCCGAACATGTATTGGAAGTAGGATTCCTGCGAAGGAGAAGGAGGACAAAGTTAGAATCGATTCGAAGATTATCCTATCGATATAATATAATATGATTTACAATTTCTATATGAGTGGTTCAGTTCACAAATTAAACTGAACCACCCAACAAAGCGATAAAGGTGTTTTTTTTAAAATTTATTTCTTATAACCAATCTGAACTTTGGGTTCAATGAGGTTATTTGCTGACGGGTACAGGGCTTTTAGAAATTCCCCCAGTGGGGAAGTGAAGAAATACGATAAAAAAATTACATTTTTGTTAAAAACAGTATTTTTGTTAAAACTCTACACTAGACCGGGTAAGGGGGCTATTATAAACATCCTAATATCTTATTCTTCAATATTACAAGTTCAATTTTAAAAAATATCAACTTGCGTGGTGATATTCTAAAATACTCCCCCCCCCCACCAAATATGATGTGTATTTTCAGTTACGAGACAAAATTTTACAATTTTTGATTTTTTTTGAAAATGTTTTGATTTTTTTAAGAAATTCAGGTAAAAAATAAATACACGTGATATCGTACCTCCACTTGATTAATGAACCCCTAAAAATCTCACGTGTCTAATGGACGCCCCCAAACATAGTGTTATTTAACTTCCCGTAGGGTAAGTTATTGTAATGAGCCGAAAATCGAAATTGAAATTTTTTACATTTCTCGACGTTTTGAAGGTTTCTGAACATTTTGGCATACTTCAGAAAAAATGGATGTGTGCGTGTGTGTGTGTGTGTATGTATGTATGAATACAAATTTCCAGTCACGTTTTCGTGCGCACGGGTCAACCGATTTGAATGGTTTAAAAAACATTCGATTCCTATTGATAAAGAGATGTGCTGATAAGATTTTGGCAAAGGTAGGTCCAGCAGTTACGGAGATAATGAGCAAAGAGTGCAGAAAATAGAAATCGAGTTTTTGAGAGAACGGAGCATCCGATTTGAATGATCTAAAAAACATTCAATTAGTAATGATTGGGAGAAGTGGTTATTAGTTTTTGGCAAAGGCAGGCCCAGCCATTTCGAAAATACGGAGCTAGATGTAAAAAAAAGGCAGTTTTTGAGAGAACTAAGCGTCCGATTTAATTGATTCAAAGAACTTTCTGCTTGTCTTAACAAAATAATTGATTTTGTGAAAAAAAATTTTGTTTCAACTTTTCTTTCCAAAAAAAAATTTTTTTGTATATCGAAAATAATTCAGATTTTATTTTTAATTCTGACTATAGTTCTAATATACTTTAAACAAATAATTTCAACTTTGCAATTCAGTTTATATAATTCTTATAAATATTAGACAATGTTACAATATTAATAATAATCTATTGAAAACATGCAGTATTCCTCGAACATTTCTTTACGGTACGGGGGTTCCAGCAATTTGCCTTAAGGCACGATGCCATACACCCCACTATT